ATAAAATTTAGTGACATAGTTTTGAAAATGAGCGCTGAGAAGAAAAAGCAATTAATAAAGCAATGAAAGGTTCTATCACGTGAGCAATTTATACGAATGTGATGTTATGGGATTTTGCAATGCAACTAGAAAAAATTTAATGATAAACATAGATTTGCCTGTGTATATATTCATGGAATGTTGTTTTTTTTTTGACTTTATAATTTTGATTTATCGGTCATTTACAACAAATAATCATAAGATTTCTATAGAAATTGTTTCATAAGTTTCGATTGCATTTTTATTTTTATTTTTATCCTTGTCGTATCTTAAGAGTAACACATAAGTTATCATCCAACAGAAATTGAATTCAATTCGATTTAACTGAAAGCAAATACAAGACTTGTAAAAATATCGAAAGAAACTTATCGATGCTATGTCGATGTAGACTAACAAGACAAACTTGAACTTTTTCGTCTTTGTTGACTTGTATCCTCATAAAGAAAAAAATAAAGATTGTGAAATTCTAAGTGCAAAATTAACACAGTTAGATCTAAAGATGGAAAAATCAAGTTCCATAGCATTTGATTATGTCAAAAAAAGTAACTGTGATAAAGTTTTTTCGCCATTATTGTTATGGTCATTAATAGAATCTTTTGCTAATAGCCTCGCAATGCTTAAGTTTCAGTGCTTTATCAAACTGTTTGTTTTGGAATGACATACCATGGAGAGAACGTGTTGTCTACATTCTAAATTTATACAACTTCCTCCGCTAAAATAGATACGGAATCCTCAGTAATATTGACAAGTAATGCTTTAGCAATAATATAACAATATAGTCGATCACTAATAACTAGAATATATATTACTATTGACCAAAAATACTCATGATCTCTATCAAACCAAACTTGAAATTTGACAAACATCACCGGACCGCTCATACAAAGAATGAATGCTTATCAATAGCTCTCTTTCTCGTCTTTCTTTCGTTCATAAATTTATGCATTTGAGATTAGTATATCGACACCTTGCTTGTCTTTAGTATTCTCCAAGTATTCAATCTCATCGTACAAAATCTGCAACATATAAAGATTATATTTGATACAAATCAACTACCTCGAGTTATTTCGGCAAAGAAGAAAAAAAGCATTTTCATAAGAAGAATTATTTAATTTGAATAATAAAGTGAAAGAGAACAAATCATTGTTATAAATGAAATAAAGAAATAAATATTAAAGCTAATATGAAAAATAAATAAGGATAAAACAGATGTTACAATCAAAGAAAATGAAATAACAAATAATCGAATTATATTTGATGAATGTTTTATTACAACAGACATAAATAAACCATTTAATGCTTGTGTTATTACAATTAACCATGTATATAATGAAAATCCATGAAATGGATTAAAAAAATTTAGTGTTTGAGATTTGATTGTAGCTGATAAAATAGCTGGAAATAAATTAAGAATAGTTCCATATGAATAAAGAAAGACATTTTGAAGATGAAGAGATTCACTATAATGTTTTTTTAGAATCCATTCATTATAAACACCAGCTAAACCACTAAATGTGCAATAAATTGCAATCATAGGTATACCCAATGGACGAATATACATTTGAGGAATAATGATAGAATTGCTTGTTATTTTTTTCGAAACAAATGAAGAATTTTTCAATGTACCTAAATATGAAAACAATCAATATTACATATTGTTCAAATGCTGAACTTTGTAATGATATAAGAAGTTGAGAGAAAATGTTATCAAAAAAGTTTAGTCTGTGACTCACGAGGAAAAACTTTACGCTAAGCAATCTGTTTCTCAGCAAAAGTTTGTAGATTTTAAGCAATCGATCATGTTAATTCCAAATATGATCATTCGAAAAGCCCTCTGCTCTTCATATGTTAGTTTTTTTAGAAGAACGAAACATATCAAATAACAGATATAGATCAACATTTTCATGTGAAAATCTTTAAGATCATGTTATTTTACTTGGAAATTCATTTTTGGAGAACAGAGGAAATTACTGACTTACAGATATTTTGATATGGTCTATCAACTGAGTCGATCAACAATGATTTTGGCAAAAATTTTTCTTACTCTGTAAAATCTTTTTTACAGAGAATATACATATAAAAACCTGATGAGGTTTCTAATAGTCATATTTGGAATCATTTTTGTCGATAACTGACAACTGATCAGCTTGTGGTCAAGAGCGATTGATCAGTGGAAAACGCTCTCTCGTAAGAGAATAAGATGGAAAATCGCCACCTTTCTTTCGGAAGGATAGTTAAGATTGTCATATCAATTCAGCATTAACTATCTAACGACTTGGATTATTTAGATTAGCTTTTTCTTTTCTTAAATTGAAGATCACTTGCTAGTTTGCGGAATAAATTTCACTTTACGAATATTAACAACTAAAGATTATAGTTGATTAAGAATAAACTGTGAGAGTATTAGCTAATATTTAAACACGCTTATTACAAAGCATTAAATTTCCATTTCTTTCCTCGTCAATTTTCACCGACACAAAAAGCAAATATTGAGAGATCTTTTTTAGATCTTTCTTATCTTATCGTCACAGAAAAATATTATTGAACAACTTCTTCATTCCAAACTGAAACTCATATCGATTCTTATTCTTTTCTTTTCTTAAGCATTCAAAAATAAAAAACAGTAAATACCAAAACTGTAAGCCAATCCACCAAAAAACAGTAATGAAAGTGCAAACCATTGTTGTCTTGTTAGCTTATGTTTAATAATAAGTCTATATAAAATAGCTGTTGTTAATATTTTAAAGTTTGATAAAATTTGATATGATGCTGGATCCATTTGAACTTGCATATGTACAGCTAAATTATTATTAATAAAATATAGAATGCCTGGTATTGAATATGGTAATGATTGTCTAAACCAAGATATAATTTGTATTTTACTTGGATAAATATTTATATTAATAGATGTAAAATAAAATAAAGCACCAAATGAAAAGATTAATTTAGCAAATTCAAGAATAAAATTCATTGTTGTTGATGAAAATGCAACAGCACCATCTTTTTCACATAAATGTACTAATACAGAATATGATCCATATGCTAATATTTGAAAAAATATCATTGCACGAAATCCAATTGAATGTAAAATATCTTCAGTTTTTTGTTTAAAAGATATTGAATTATCCGATGTTGATGAAAATGATTTTTCATGATCAATATTGTCTGTAGAGTCAGACATAGATAAGCCTAGACTAGCGCTACCACCAATCTGCATTTT